TCTACCCAACCACGGAAATTAGGAACGGGTTCCACATCTCCCATAGTTGCTACAGAAAAGCAAGAAGAGACGAAATTAGAAAAGAAATTGACATTCTTAAAGATAGGTACGGTAAGTAAAAAAAACTTACGTGCAAAGTTCCACTTCTCAGGGAAGAGGATATTTATTTCACCCACCAAATCAACTGTGCGTACAGCAACATAACGAGTGTACCACCTACGATCCTTGTCATCTTCACGGCTCACCAAGACCCTTTTACTTCTTGCAGTTAAAGTAAAAACCCCATGGCGGAATAATTTGGGGTGGTAAAGATGAATAAGGTGGGGAAAAGTAAAGCTAACATTGGCTTTTGNAAAACTGGACCTAGTTCTCCACTTTCAAAACCACCAACAAAGAGACGTTGAATAGACTCATTGGTGTCCATCGGAGTGGTTTCAGCATCAGAAGGAATTTGAACAGGTTCGGTAAGAGAGGCACGGACAGGGGTAACTTCAGCTTCATCCTCGAAAATGATGCGTCTCCTAACTCTTGGTCTAGCTATTAAAGAGGTGTCTTCATCTTCATCATTCTCAGAATCCTCTTCTACAACTTTCCTCTTTGATAGCGTAGCTTGAGTTCTCTCCAAAGAGAGTGAAGTACCAGAAGAGGCTCGAAGGGCAATAGCTACTTCAGTTGTCATTCCTCGAATAGCAAATCCTGACAAAAAGAAGGATGAAAAAAGTTAGAAACAAGAAAGAACTTAACATACGAAAAAGCATAAAGAGATGCATACCGTGAGTTTTCACTTTCCAACCATGTAAATTGGAAATGGATTTCCAAGTTCTTGCCTCCATAGGCACGGCTTTCAAGATTGAATCTACCCAACCACGGAAATTAGGAACGGGTTCCACATCTCCCATAGTTGCTACAGAAAAGCAAAAAGAGACGAAATTAGAAAAGAAATTGAAATTCTTAAAGATAGGTACGGTAAGTAAAAAAAAACTTACGTGCAAAGTTCCACTTCTCAGGGAAGGGGATATTTGTTTCACCCACCAAATCAACTGTGCGTACAGCAACATAACGAGTGTACCACCCACGATCCTTGTCATCTTCAGGGCTTACCAAGACCCTTTTACTTCTTGCAGTTAAAGTAAAAACCCCATGGCGGAATAATTTGGGGTGGTAAAGATGAATAAGGTGGGGAAAGGTAAAGCTAACATTGGCTTTTACAGACAAATATCTCAAACAAGCCACTGCTCTCCATACAAGGGGGCCAATTTGTCCCAAACAAATTTTGAAAAAGCGACAGAAATCAAGTATAACTGGGTCAATAGCAGGAATAAATCCCAAAGTGAAGGGATAAGTATAAACAAAAGAAAATCCAATCCTAAAAGAAGATATTCTTTGGTTTGGATTAGGGATCACTATACGAAGATCACTTCTCCAGTTGCAATCTTTTCGAACAATAGAAATCAAAGGTTCAGTGATTAGAGAAGGAAAAGTGTCAGCTTTCTCTAAATTAACAACTTGTTCATGAAGAGATTTTCTATCATTCTCAAAGGATAAGTCATTGGGTACTATTTCCTAAACTAAAGGATCTTGAAGAGGCTCAGAAAGTTCTTTACCTTTAGAAGAGGATTTCTTAGTGATAGAACCTCTAGAAATAGTGCCAAAACTAGAAGAAGGAGTGATGGAACCAGATGAACCACCACGAACGGATCCTAGGCTACGAAGTCTGCCACCTCTACCCCTTCTATGCCTTACAGGGGCGTTGGGGAAGCTATCAAGAATTGGGATTCTCTTAGGGTTAGGATTTGGGGACGCCATTGCAGAGAAAGGATGAACTAAAGGAAAAAAGGTTAAATATGTATATAATAGCAATCGTCAAACAAAGAAGTGTAATGATGGAAAGCCTATAATAAAAGCAACTATCACTTCGTGAATAGAGGGGATGAAGAAGCCTTGAAAAAAGGCTGCAGCATTACAGAGCCAATCAGAAGGTGACACGTGTGTAGAGCATTAAATAGAAAAGACAACTGAAGCGTCAGTACTAACATAGCATTGATTACAGCAAAAATTCCTCTTCTTTTGTGAAGATCCACTTCCCAAATATTTAATTGATAAATAAATGGAAAGTGGGAGGGACTATCTTTATTGGGAAAAAACTGAGTCTGAATATTGAAGATGACGTGTCATGACACGTGGACTGGTCAAAAGGTCAAAACTCAATAAATAGCCAAGAGGCACGGGAGACAACAGATAGGGGGAAGAAAATAACATAGGTGTGGACCGTTACTCAAATAGGTACGAGTCTCGTACCTATTCGAGTCATTTAAAGACCGAAGATTGGAAGAAGTTGAAGATATAAATCTGATGACGTAAAAGAGTCTAAATACAGCATTAAATATCAAATACGTTAGAAAATTTGAATTAAATAGAAATGATTGTGTAACGTTTCTTTTAATGTCATTTATTGCTCATAATTGCCTCATTAAGACAAAGGCATTACATCTTCTCCTAGAATCAACTATAAAAGGAAAAGGACTCAACATCTGTAGACACACAAAATATTATTGAGATTACATTGGAATAAAAAACTACTTATTACTTTATTATTCTCAAAAGTATTCTATTATTTTCGTCTCCAGATTATCAGTAACCCGAATTTCTCTTTATTTCTAGCTTTGACTAAAGACTCACATTTTTGGTTAAACAGAGATCTTCGTATCGGTTGAGTTAAATGAATATAATTACGAATATGAGTTCAATGAGTTTTATTATTAAAAAGTTATAAGATTTAATATGAACATGGCATGCCAAATTGGTGCTTTTTAATAGTTGAGTAATTTTGTTGTCCCAGCAAAATAAAAGTAACTACAGTGTCGGTTATTTCCATAAGTTGAATGACCATCCAAGAAATTGACCCAACCTATTGCTATACAACAACAAGAACAACAACAACAACGATCCAGTGAAATTCCACTAGTGGGTCTGGGGAGGGCAGTGTGTACGTAGACTTTACCCCTATACCGAAGGAGTAGAAAGGCTGTTTTCGAAAGACTCGGCTCAAGAGGACAAAAAGACAAAAGGTGACAATATCAGTATCACCGCAGAAATCATAGGAAAAATAGGAACATCATGAAATCCAGAAGAAAGATGCAAGCAAAAGCGATAGCTAGTAAATAGGTCCGATACTGAAAAGCGAAATAGTAAGACACGACATCGCCACAAGCTATCTTAGACAAAAACCCTACCAAACTAGTCTCACAACGGTACGAAGTAAGGCAAGAATCAACTACCTCCTAACTTACAACCCTAATACTCGACCTCCACATCTTCCTATCAAGTGTCATGCCCTCAGAAATCTGGAGTCTCTCCATGTCCTGCCTGATCACCTCTCCCCAATATTTCTTCGGCCTGCCTCTACCTTTTCTCATGCCCTTCAAAAGCAGCCGCTCGCACCTCCTTAGCGGGGCATCTGGGCTCCTCCTCTATACATGCTGAAACCATCTGAGCCTCGTTTCCCGGATCTTTTCATCAATGGGAGCGACGCGCACCTTCTCCCGAATATCATCATTCCTAATCTTATCCATCCTAGTGTGTCCGCACATCCACCTCAACATCCTCATTTTTGCTACTTTCATCTTCTGGATATGTGAGTTCTTAACATGCCAACACTCAGCCCCGTACATCATGGCTGGTCTAACCACCGCTTTATAGAACTTACCTTTGAGTATCGGTGGCACTCTCTTGTCACACAAGACTCTAGATGCTAACCTCCACTTCATCCATCCTACCACAATACGGTGTGTGACATCCTCGTCGATCTCCCATACACCCTGGATAACGGACCCAAGGTACTTGAAGCTTCCTTTACTTGGAATGACTTGTGAGCCAAGCCTCACATTCACGCCCACTTCCCCCGGCTCAGTGCTAAACTTACACTCCAGGTATTCCGTCTTCGCCCTGCTTAGCTTGAAACTTTTAGACTTAAGATCCTGTCTCCAAACCTCCAGCCTCTCGTTAACACCGTCTCGTGACTCATCAATCAGCACTATGTCATCGGTGAATAGCATGCACCATGGAACCTCCCGTGAATATGGTGTGTTAACTCGTCCATCACCAGGGCGAATAAGAACGGACTGAGTGCAAAGCCTTGCTGTAACCCCATAACAATCGGAAAATGTTCAGTGTCGCCTCCTACTGTTCTTGCCCGAGTCTTAGCCCCATCATAAATGTCCTTAATCGCCATAATTTAGGGAACCGACACACCTTTTGCCTCCAAGCATCTCAGAGAACTTCTCTACGAACCTTGCCACACACTTTCTCTAGGTCAATAAACATCATGTGCATGTCCTTCTTCCTATCTCTGTACCGTTCCACCAACCGCCTAACAAGGTGTATAGCTTCTGTAGCAGAACGACCCGGTATGAACCCAAACTGGTTGTCGGATACCGACACCGACATCCTCACCCTCGCTTCAACCACCCGCTCTCACACTTTCATGGTATGACTCAGTAATTCGATACCACTATAATTGTTACAACTCTGGATATCACCTTTGTTCTTATACAATGGAACCACCGTACTCCACCTCCATTCATCCGGCATCCTCTTCGCCTTAAAAATAATATTGGACAACCCAGTCAACCACTCCAAACCCGCTCTCGCCACACACTCCAAATAACATTGACTCAAGAGATTATTTTCATAATTAGAGCCCCTAACCTACTAATCACACGACGATAATTCTTCCATGGTGCCAACCATACTCTTTTTTTTTTTTAAATGATAGGAAAAGTAAAATAATACTCTCTCCGTTTCAATTTATGCGAACATATTTTCTTTTTAGTCCGTGTCAAAAGAATGATCCCTTTCCTTATTTGGAAACAATTTACTTTTATATAATGATTTTTAGTCATACAAAATATATGTATCTCATTTTACACCACAAATTCAAAAGACTTCTCTCTTTTTTTAAACGTCATGCCCAGTCAAATGGGTTCACATAAATTTAAAGGGAGGGAGTATAACTTATTAAATGATAATAATGGCAAACAATGAAACAATAAGAGGGGACGTAGCAGTAGAGGACACTGGGAGGGAGTATAACTAGATGAATGGCGTGTTGGAAGAGGAAATAGGTAATTTAGGAGTTTGATTGACGGTACGATAGAATCCACCATATGTTTCTCCACCATGCATTCCCTTTCCCTATCTTTTTTTCATGTGAATTTGATGGGTTAGGGAATGTCAAGTACACCACACAAGGAGGAACGCAAATACGCCATGTAGTAAATAAGATTAGATTTCTCCTCCACTTATATTTTTCACAATCCAAGTCTCTATGTCCTGGCAAATGAATATGTTATATATGCTTATCATTTGAATTTTTAAAATATTATTAATGCAATTTAATCGATTATAGTAAGTTATCGATCTCAAGTTTAATATGAAGAGTTATATATTGTTATACGTCAACTTGAAACCATAGTGTAAAAATATTTAACGCTATCATTACCTAGAACATTAACTATTTTCCCCCGTTTCTATTTCCTAGTTGCTGAACTTTTAAATTATTCAAATCAGGTAAGTAAATGTCTGACTAAAACGTTAGGATAAACATGTACGTAAATCAAACTTATGACTTGTTCTTATCCTTTAATTCCAGAAGAGCTCCGTAAACGCAAATTTAAATATTGACAAGACATATTTTCAAGCAGTTTAGAAACGATGTAACTCCATTCATATTTTTCTTTCCCAATTTCAACCGAATTATCATGGCATTCATACATTCTCATATTACTGAGTCATGCTCGTGTTACTTTGTAAAAGGTAATTAGAGATTAAACCATTAAATGTTCGTTATAATTCTGATAGTTTATTCCAAAGAAAGTGACGCATTAAATAATGAGTCTCAGTTTTAGAATAGACACTATTCAATCATTTATAATGTAATTATAAATAAATATTTATAATAAAATATTAATAATTAATAACCTAATAAATTGAGAACTAACCTATTATTACAAATAGAGATGGATCCAGGAGTTAATCTTGAATACCCTGAACCTAGGGTGTTCATGAAAAATTGAGCCAAACTGCAAATCATATCAAATTGAAAACCGAATCAAATCGATACAAAAAACGATAATATTTTGGTTTGATTAATTTTAAAATCGGCTAAATTTGATTTAGTTTTGGTTTTAAGCAAAAATAACCAAAAAAAATCGAATCAAACTAACTATAGAATTTCTTATTTAAAACTTTATTACACACACATAGAGAGAATATAGTCGGCAGAATATGTGCTTGGTAAACGTCTCATATGTAAGAAAAAAATTAATAAAAATTTGAAATAACCGTAAAACTGACTAAAATCGATATAGTTAATTGAACTATAAAAAATCGAGTTAATTAGTTTGGTTTGATTCTAATATTTAAAAAAATATCTTAATTGGTTTGATTTCTTTTTAGAAAAAAATCAATATATCTAAATCTAACCATAAACACTTCCCTAAAGCCCTAAAGAGAGACTGCACCCATGAAAAGAGACTGCACCCAGTTCTGATTATATGTTATAATTCGATAGTATAAGCTTCTGATATTTTTTTTTTAAAAAGGTAAATGCTATAATGGAAAAGAAATTACGTTGCAATAGTTGAATAAAAAAACAAAAGTTGAAACAAATTAAATGAATGAGAGAACAGGTAAACGCTGGGGCAGTGTGAATTGAATGGGGATTGGGAAGTAGATTGGCAGAGACATCATGAAAACGCCAGGCTGACGTCAGAAGAAAATGTTCCAGTGGACCCCATTTTCTCCTCATTTGACTTGCTAATTTCAACCAACGAATCCCCCATTCTTCGTACTATAAATTGGTACATTTTGTTCTCAACTACAAATTACAAATAACAGACAAGTTTCAAAGTGTTGGAAACTTTGCACAAAACAGACATAATAATATCAGTAGAAATGGCGCCGCGTTCTGTTGTCAGGAAATTTCTCGCACGGCCTCAACATGAAGGACTTGGTGCTGTTGTTAGAAGAAGCATTGGGAGGTACTTTATTTTATTTTTCTCTTCTACAAACATTCAGGGCCCGAAAGATTGTTTCGCCGGATAATTACACTTCCATATAAAGTCAATTTTTCTTTATATATATAATGATGAAGTTCCTTTGTGAAATCCTGTCTCTGCCAACAATGCACATTTTCTATAGTTGCTACTTTTAAAAGTTTTTTTGAGCTTACCATGACGATTAATTTCTCTTTTATTAAATCCTTTCTCAGGTTTGAGTTGAGGTACTTTGACCCTTTCCTAGTTCTGGATGAATTCTCAGGTAACTATTTTTTTCTTTGGTTTGGATACTTAGCTCCTGTTTAGTCATAGATTTTGGCTACTTTTTCTCAAAATGTTTTTGAAAACATTGTTTCATCATGAAATATGATCAATTTTTTTAAAATATTTCTAGTTCCTCACTCACAAAACTTCAACTTTTGTTCAAATATAATTTCAATTCTTTTTTCAAAGTTTAACCAAATCTATGTTCAAATGCTAGCTTATATTGCATTGGATGGAATTTTTCCCCTAACGTTACCTTAAAATATGTGAAAATTGCAGTTTCTGCTCCTGCTGGATTTCCTGATCATCCACATAGAGGTCACATTCTAATGATTCTTTTTCGGTATTTTGTGCTTTTTTTCGGTCAAAGTCGATCCATTCTGATCAGTTTTATGCTAATTTAGCAATTTCTTCATCATTAATGTGCTCTTATTCTGAATTTTACAGGCTTTGAAACGGTCACCTACATGTTGCAGGTATATAATAGTCACTCTGTTTCTCCCTTTATTCAAAAACCCAATACAGACGTAATCTTAGATATTCCATTTGTAGTTGTATTCATATATTGTTTGTGTGGATTGTCAAAGGCTAAACTAATGATAATTACTATATTAATTTGATGGCAGTAGTTGAGCAGATGTGATTGTCTAACTTCTATGAAAGCAACATATGCTACTACTTGTTTACGATAATTAAAAAAACAAAATATCTGGTTTAGTGCTAGCTGCTAATGCATGTTGATCGTACAAAATAAGTATATTCATTGAAGGTAAATATCAAGACTAAATAGCTGGAAGTTTCATGCCGTATATATTACTCAACTCGTTTTATTTTACAAGACACTCTTGCTTTTTTTAATATGTTCTAAAAGGAATGACAGTTTTGTGTATCATCATAACTCTTTAATTTTAAACTTTAAAATTTATATTTAGTGACATGCTTTTATAGCAATTGAAGTATTATGACATTTTATAAACAAGTTTTGAGCGTACTTTTAGTATGTGCCAGAATATTTTTTTTCTTCCGTTTTTAGACAAACACCGCGCAATATAGAAGGAAATGCAAGGACTATTTGTTTACTATACTATATTTGAAATGGCACAAATAAAAAAGGTGATGCATTTAGTAGTGCAAGTATTTCTTGAAATTCATTCAAATTCTATGGGGGTCATCATCAACTTTTGTGGTGGAGCAATGGCGCAAAAAGTATACGATGATGGCTGATAGTCATGCTTCTTCTAGAAGATTTTATGCTAATAATTAATATAGAAAATTGGTTACTTAAATCTTAATAGGATCTACACAAGTTTAGTACTATGTTAGTTAATCATAATATAGTTGAAAAGCAATTAATTAATGTTCTGTTGTTGTTGAGAGCAGGGAGCTGTGACGCATGAAGATTTTGAAGGACATAAAGGTACCATTGAAGCTGGTGATTTACAGTGGATGACTGCTGGAAGAGGAATTCTTCATTCTGAAATGCCTGCTGCTGAGGGTACTCAAAAGGGTTTACAGTTGTGGATTAATCTCTCCTCCAAAAATAAAATGTAAGCAAATCCTTCTATTTAATTGTTAAAATAGTTAAACTTCTGTACACTAATGATATTAAAGAATTTTTACACTATCAAATTAGATAACTGCAATCGTTAAGATTACATGCTACAACAATTTTTAGTATGTGTACATTAATGTCCATTGTCCAAGGGCACCTTGCTATGAGTGCAAGTGGGATGAATATATGGTCACATCAAGTGAAACATGTTTATTTTTTTTCTCTCGATCGAGATTGTACTATAGGTTGAACTTAATGCTAACTATAGTGTAGAGACGAATTTAACGAAATTCAATATTTTGACACAGAACATATATATATTTATGTGAAAAATACTAAAATGTCAGTAAAAATAAAATATGGAATCTATTATTAAAGGCTGAACTCATCAAAATTTTAATTCTGAATTCGTCGTTATAAACCATACTTGTGTATAACAGGATACAGCCAAGGTATCAAGAGATATCAAGCGAGAACATAGCAGAAGCAACAAAAGATGGGATAAAGGTGAGAATTATAGCAGGGGAGGCACTAGGAAAAATATCACCCATATACACAAGGACTCCAACAATGTATTTGGATTTCACTCTAAAGCCAGGAGCGCATTTGCAGCAACCAATTCCTAAATCATACAATTCATTTGTGTATGTATTAGAAGGAGAGGGCATTTTTGACTCAAGAACATCACCCACATCAGCACATCATTTACTTCTTCTAAGTGCCTCTGGTGATGGACTTGAGGCATGCAACAAGTCCACAAAGCCACTAAGGTTTATATTAGTGGGTGGTGAACCATTAGGTGAACCAGTAGCACAATTGGGGCCTTTTGTCATGAATACTCAACAAGAAATTGACCAAACTGTTGAAGATTTTGAGAATTATGCCAATGGTTTTGAAAAAGCCAAGCATTGGAGATCTGAAGCCAGAATTGGGCTTGACTATTAGTGCTGCAAGTAGTTATATGTAGCGGCGGAGTCAGGATTTTCACCAAAGGGGTTCGACATTTATTATATAAACATAAACAAATTTAATCTTGTATATAGCGAAGGAGGTTTAAATGAATCCCTTCCGCTCCTCTAGCTCCGCCCTGCTGACATCAATCGTTATTGATTCTTTTGTTATTCTTCCTATTTTGTTGTGTAGCTTTCGTAGTCCATTTGTTTTGACATAAGAGGGAACATCTGTTCTCCATATCACCAAAGCACCCCATTTTCATAGGAAATGATAAGGGCTCATTTTGGCATGTTCCCCACTGTACAATGGATTCATCATGTTGTTCTCTTTTTTATCTTTAAAAATGATGGAGCATTAAGTTAATTAATTATTCTTAAATGCTGAAGAACTCAACTGAATTCTTGGGGTCATGAATAAGAAAAAAGAATGGCCGTTTCTGTTCTTTATTTGTTTTGATAAATGTGAACTTTACAAGCGTGTCACTTCTATTATTCAAATATAAGATTAATAAAAGACATATCATTATTGTTAAGCTGCAATATAAAAGAGCGTTCACAATGATTTACCTATCCCTGTTGGTGCTATCTAACATTAAGCATTTGATTGTCAAACGACGATCCTTCCTTAATAATGGTCTCGTATTTGTGTTCTGAGAATGAAATTGCTAATGAAGCATTTAACCCGTAAATACTAGTTTAGAAAATTTACGGTTTTCTCCTTGTTCTAAATTGTTGTGCTTATGCTTGTCTAAGCCGAAAGTCTATCTGAAATATTTTCTCTACCTGCACAAGTTATGAGTAAGGTCTGCATACACACTACCCTCCTCGGACTTCACTTATGGAATTACACTGAGTATGTCTTTGTTGTTGGTCTCCTTAGCGCAAGCGGATTCACAGCAACCACAATTTGTGTCATGGTAGTTGGAAATCACAAGGCGGATGAAGTACTCCTATTTTTTCACAACTTCTAGATGCAGAGATTGAATATTAATTATGTAAAACCCTAGTTGTTCTTTTATGATGAAAAGCATGTTCATTTCAACGCATATAATGGTGTTTATATAGGCTAGTACTAGGATTTTTAGGAGGAAGACTAACAAATAGGTTTGTATCGGGTAAAACATATAGATTACAGGTGTACGTCTCTCAAGTAGATAAGTGGCAGTGAAGACAGATAGGGGGCAAGTCAGCATATGGTTGATACCGGGCATAGTCATATGTTCGTATTGCATAAATTTAGAAGGCATCAAGATCGGGGAAGAAAATTTAAAAGTTAGGTACCGGTTGGAAAAGGCAAGCATAAAAGGATCAACCGTTATAAAAAATCATAGCATTTATTCTCAAACGTTATGCAACCATCAAGAGGAGTTTTTATTTATCATTAAGGAGGTATTTGAGGATCTTGTCTCCTCAAATTTAACTATAAATAGAGAAATTTATACTCATTAAAGGACACAAAATATGAAAAAGGCTGATATTCTTCTCTCATTCTTAAAAAAGGCTTTATATTACTGTTATAAGATTTGCAAATTATTCTTAGTTCCGGTGGGATCAATCCGAAGCCCAGGCTTATTTTTTCTTTTTTATCCTGATTTTATTCTCTTTGTACTGTTTATTTTATTTTCAGATCAATTTAATCTACGTGTCTATAAACCACATTACAAATTTAATTATACCTATTTGCACGTAAACAGTTTGGCGCCCACCGTAGGGCTTAGACAATCGTGGTATTATTTTGATCTGCTCATATTTTACTAACGTACTTTGAATTTTTTCTGTTGTAAGCATAAAACAGTTATGGCACCCAATGATGTCAACAACTCGCTCAATGTTAGGACAAACAACAACAACGAGCCTGTGGAAAATTTTCATGACGGAAATCAACAAGATGATTGACTAGTGAAAACTGTATCGACGGGAATGAGTCAACCCGGAATCGGGTAGAAAGAAATACTAAGCGTGCGAGGAGTCCCCCTTGATGATATGGATAATGAATCCATTGTCGATACTGTAAAAGTTTTGAGAGCACATCAAAGAAAAATCATGAATAATCTCTCAAGAAAGGACGGGCTAATGACAGAGATCCAACAAGCGCTATCGATGCTTCAAATAATTCCAATGGTGGAATTCGAGCCCCTCCTAGCTTGCTTATAAATCAGATAGTTCCAAGAACCGTAACGTCGCTTCAAATGAGGAGTTCAGATCGAATAACAACCAAAGAGGCGGTGCAAGCAACATATCTGAAAATGAAAACAACACCAATGATCCTTTCAAGATCGATTTGATGAGGCCCATGAGGGAAATGAATGCTCAGATGTATCAAAACGCTAAGGAATTTCACGCCCGAATGGATCAAATCCCGGGGGCACCTCTGGTCCTGAAGGGCCCGGATTCAAAGAAGTATATTCAGTTTCTATCAAACCTAGTGCAGCTCCGGAGTTGATCCCAAAGAGATTCAAGATGCCGGATATTCTAAAATACTAACATCGGATCCGCAAGAACACATCACAACCTACACCACAGTTGTGAAGGAAAACGATTTGGCTCCGCATGAGATCAAATCAGTTTTGCTAAAGAAATATTGCGAAATCCTAACAAAAGGGTCTTTGATATGGTATTCACTTTTACATGAACGCACAACTAATTCTTTGAAATCCTTTCAGATTCTTTCATCAAAGCTCATGTTGGGCAAGAAAATTCCAAGCTATGAAAGCAAATATATTTAGAATTGCTCAAGGAGACTTAGAGTTGTTGCGAAAGTTCGTGATTCTATTTCAAAAGGAGAAAATGTTATTGGCAGCAGTACCGGATGAATGGGAAGTGGAAACGTTTGCCAAGTGTCTCAATCCCTTAAGCTATGATGCCTCAAGGAAGTTGAAGAAGAGTTTATCGGAATTTCTAGCAACTACATGGGCTGATGTCCATAATTGCTATGAATCTAAAACTAGGATTGAAGATGATCAGTTGGGTTCTTCAGTGTCATTCAAGGGTTGAAATCATGATCAGAATCTAGAAAAGTTCAAGAGTGATCTCGATGCGGACTGGAGACCATCCAGGTAGGGGTGTTCGTCGGTCGGTATGGTACGGTATTTAGACATTTCGGTTCGGTATTTTCGATATTCGGTTTCTTAAAATCCTATACCAATACCGTACCTAATTAAATTCGGTATGGTTCGTTTTTTCTTCTTTCGGTTTATTCGGTTCGGTAACTTCGGTTTATTCGGTTTGAATACTAACTAATACATAAAGCCATACACTCTAATATTCTTAATTAAAGTACTCAAAAATATAAAACTAAAAATGTTTGTTGACAAATATTTTGTCCAAAACTAGCAAATATCGACCCAAATAGAGAAAATTGTACATAAAAGAATATTTTATCGTTAGAAATATCTTGTTACTTGTTTAGAGTTAATTGATGAACTTTGAGAATAAAGGAAAGTAAAATTTTAGATTTTTTTAATTTATGTTATAATTGATAATATGTGTTTTGTGTAATATAATATATATTTCGGTACGGTATCGGTATTTTGGTATTTTATCTTAAAATATCAAATACCATACCTAATACCAATTTTTTTTAAAACTTAAACCAAATACCAAAATATCGTATACCAAATACCAAAATTTTCAGTTTCGGTACAGTAATTCGGTATTTACCAAATTATGCCAGCCCTACATCCAGGAGTCATTTTCAACCGTATATGTCAAACGAAAGGTATGATACTCAGTCAGGTCAAGAGCATAGAGTTAGAGGATTTCAATAGTTGGAAAGACACGAACCAGTCATGAGGACTAATCATGGGCGAAGTAGTAGAGTTTGCAAGATAAAGAGCCACGAGGTCCCGAGATTCAGGATATCCCCGGTTATCGGATTACAATTTCAATATTAGCTTGGTGGAGTTGGTTTCAGCCATGAGGAACGTAAAGGAAGCAAGTTTCCCAAAACTAATTCGATCGGACCCCAGTCAGAGGGATCCTACTTTGTGGTGTGAATTTCATGGTACACATGGTCATAAGACTGGGGACTGCTGACATCTTCGTAAAGAGGTAGCGATGTTGTTGAAAAATGATCATCTTAGAGAGTTCTTAAGTGACCGAGCTAAGAGTAATTACGGTAGGGGTCGTGATACAACGGAATTGGCAAAGCCAATAGGGTCTCCCTGTCTTACAATAAATATGAATTTGGAGGGGTTGAAGTGAATGGGGTGACATTTTCGACTTCAAAGAAGACGAAGATATCAGTCACTCATGGCAAGAGGATCGGGGAAGCACTAGAAGATGATGAAATCACCTTCTTGGAGGAAGATGATGATGGCCTTATTTTACAACACAATAATGCTCTGGTAATATCTTTAAATGATTTAGATTTTAAAATTAAGCGTATGTTGGTTGATTCAGGTAGTTAAGCCTATATTATTCAATTTAGAGTCCTAGAACAAGCAAAGCTGACTGGAAACATAGTTCCGACGACAAAGTTTTTGGTTGGGTTCAACTTAAAAGTTGTGACGACCCGAGGAGAAATCGTATTGCCTATGTACACCGAAGGGTTGACGAAATCTACATTNTCTTATATATTGTTGTTATTTTTATTATGCATTTTTATGGTACTAATATATCATCTCCTATTGCCTTTTTTTTAGCCGAGGGTCTCCTGGAAACAGTCTCTCTACCCTTCGGGGTAGGGGTAAGGTCTGCGTACATATTACCCTCCCCAGACCCCACTAGCGGGATTATACTGGGTCGTTGTTGTTGTTGTTGATAGACCATGGATCCATGAAATAAAGGTTGTTGCATCAACATATCAACAATTGCTAAAGTTCCCAACATCGGATGTGATTATGCAGATTAGAGGTGATCAACCTGCAATAAGAGAAATGAATGTCGTTATTTGTCTAGTAGTAAGGCGGAAGGAATCAATAAATAGAAATTATAGGAAGCGCTGTCAACTTTCATTTCAGCCCCGATGAAAGTACCGAAAGAAGACGATAGTGAGGAGAAGACACCATATATTTACCAGATATCCAGGTCTTTACAGGTACCAAGAGAAATGAATGCAACAAAATTGATCGCAAAAGAACTTGAACAAGTCACTTTGTTCATGGAGTTTGCGGAAAGAAAGGTTTACTTGGGAACGGGGTTGAGCCCCCAACTCAGGCTTAAGTTTAGTAAATTTATTAAGGCTAACATTGACTATTTTTCATGGTCTTACTTAGATATGACAGGTATCCCACTTGAAGTGGTTGCTCACAACCTAAGTTTGGACCCTAATTTTCCTCTGATAAAGCAG